CCACCGCCAATACCACCAGGTCTTGGGAGACCACCACCCGGTACGAAGGATGAACGAAGGGGGTCGTGTGGGCCCAGTCCAGGAGGGTGCAGGTCGTCATGGCCGATATTGAAGGGCGAGCGTCCGTCGCCAGGCAGCCGGAGGCCCCCTCCACGTGGCGGCCTGTAGATCTCGAACTCGTCTTCGAAGTCTGGAGGGGCGAAGTCGCCCGCCGGTACCGGCCTGCGCGGCGGTGCGGCGAGGGGATCGTCGAAGGGGTACGGCCGAGCAGGCTCGGGAAGACGCGGCTCCGGTACGGGCTGGTCCCTGCTGGGTCCCACACGGCCCCGGTGGTCTGCGTCTTCTTGTACAGCTCGGTCGTCGGGGTCCCGGGTGTCCTCGTAACCTTCCTTCTGTAGGCCCGGGATGAGCTTTTGGATGATGTTGATCTTGAGCAGGCTCGCCAGGTCAGACATGCGCTCGGGAGAGATAAAGACGTTCTGCAGTTTTGAGGGCAGATCGGATCGGTCCTCTTTTCCTTCGCTGTCGAGAGTGATACGTAGTGGGAGGGCTGAGGAAGAGATGTAATCCCGGGGAGTAATCTCGAGCCTCGCGATGCGCTCGTCGCCTACCGCCAGGCCTCGAATCTCGGCCTTGCCGCCAAGACGGTCGACCTTGACGACGAATCGCATGGATGACTGGGTGTGTGCGTAGAGGAAGGGATATGAGGAGACTGAGGCGTTCCATCTTGAAGGGAGGCGAGGGGCGAGGGACTGGCATTCTGATTCTAGAAATCATGTAAGCTTCATGAAGTGAGAACGCCGCATAGAAGGGCGGAGAGGCGTCATAGTTTAAACTTACCATCCTTCTGATCCTCGTGGAATCCCAGGAGCCGGAATCCTAGGTTGATCATGGATGAGTGTGTGAAGAGGGCAATGGCCTCCGCGGAGCTGCTCATATCGGAAGTGGTGTCGCCTTTCTCGTGGGTAGGCAGAGCATCTGCCATGCCCTGCAGGATGCTCTGCGGGCTGAGAGGGCTGTTTGCCATGACAACGGCGAGGTGTGTCGAATTCTGCAAATAACTTTGTGAGGCCACAATGGCATTAGCATTGAGGTGTGGTGAAGAGGTTTGGAAGTTGTTAGGGATCCTGGAGAATGCGAAGCTCGTGAGTCTGCCACCTCGGTAGCGTTGCAACGGCAGTTTATCAATAGCTTGCAGCAGGGTGGCGTCAGAGGGGGTCTGCCTAACCGTAGGGCTGAGTTAGAGGGCTGGGAGGGGCTCCCGATATGCGGGGAAGCTTCAACAGGGGGCCTTGGGGCATTTCAGCGGGACCTCGGGACCGCTAATGCTGGGACCGTCATCGGGTCGGCTCGGATAATCTTTATCGCAGTCATCTTGGCATGACCGCCTTGCTACGGTGACGAGTCCCTTAACAATAGCACCTTGCTTATTTGGTCCTGCATGCATGAACGGGGTGCCCAATATAGCCTTAAAACGAGCTTGACACGACGACTGCGGGGCTCATCGATCTACAGGCACAGCATAAGCCGATCCCTCTAATATCACAAGTGTCCGGAAGCCACGGTGCCCTTGACCTCAACCATCCATCCTCGCCCACACTCCTTCCAACTAGACGAGGCAAGCTTGTTCAACGAGGCCTCGGTGCATGTCTCCTCCCTCCACCGTCAACGCCACGAGCCACCCTGCTATACTGGAACATGAACCGAATGGTGCTCCTGCTGAGGTGAAGCGCTCGACGGAGCCAAAGCCGAAGCTAGGGCTAGGACCAGAACCAGAAGCACAAACGTCATCGCAGTATGAAACCATGGCTTTCGAGACGAAGCCTGCGACGGGACGACCGAACACGTCAGAGGATCTGATCTCACTTGAGGTGCAACCGAAAGAACCATCTACAGCACCAGATCAGCATGGCAATCTCCATGTCGAAGAAACGCAACCAGACGTGCCGCCAAAGACAGACGACGGTGTCGAGGGTCTGACCGCCTCAATCGCAACCCTGAAGCCTATCACGGCCCCATCTACCACTCTAGCTACGCAGCATCTGCACGCTGAAACGAAGCAATACATCGACCCAACACCGCCTACGCCGACTGCCTCGCAGCCTCCGTCGAGGACACCATCAAATGCTGGCAATCGCCCTCGAACTTCGCTTGACTCTTCGGAAGGGGGTCGGTCTGACGACGAGAAACGGCGCACGAGTGAGGACGAGCGTGAGCAAGATGGGTCAGAAATACAACACATCATGGCGCAGTTCAAGGAGGGCGGTGACGGTCCAGGTGTTGACGAGGTTATGAGTCCACGATTAGAGATCGCATCCCCCTTCCCAGCTGCCACCACCCAGCATCCTCCTCGGCATTCCAGTCTAGAGCCCTTGGCGCCCAACATTGCCCAGCAGTTACAAGGGGTTCAAGGTCTTGGCATAGAAGTCACCTCGCCGGGTAGCCTCAACTCCAAGGGCAAAGACCCTGACGACCAGGGACCACCGGTACCCCCAAAAGACCCCTCCATACGCTCCGGCAGGACGGGTCAGCTCAAAGATGAGCTAGAAAGCATCGGCACACCCATGTCCCCGACAGTCTCAACAGTCTCGTTACACAGGCCACCCCCACCGGAGCCGGAGCCTGAATCAGCCCTGCCTTTCGACTTCCACAGGTTCTTAGAACAGTTGCGAAATAAGAAGGCGGATCCAGTTGCGAAGTACTTGCGGTCATTCCTGAACGAGTTTGGGAAACGGCAATGGATGGTACATGAGCAAGTCAAGATTATCAGCGACTTTTTAGCTTTCATTGCGAATAAGATGGCGCTGTGTGACGTCTGGAAGGACATATCCGACGCTGATTTCGACAATGCTCGAGAAGGTATGGAGAAGCTAGTCATGAATCGGCTATACAGCCAGACTTTCTCGCCTGCCATACCACCACCTCAACCCATACCAGGCGCAAAGCCCCGAAGGAGGGGCGCGGAGCAGCCCATGGGCCCCGGGCGAAGAGGTCAACATCAAGAGGATGTTGAACGCGATGAGGTGGTATCGCAGAAGATCAATATCTACGGATGGGTCCGTGAAGAGCATTTGGACATCCCGCCAGTAGGCGAGAGCGGGAAGCGTTTCCTCAGGCTCGCCCAGCAAGGTATGGCTTACACTTGGCCGGGTAGGGTTACGAGCCCCAGCTGACGGTCTCAGAATTATTGAAGATCAAGTCATACCGAGCACCAAGGGATAAGATCATATGTATCCTGAACTGCTGCAAGGTCATATTTGGTATGTTACTACTCAGTGTTGAGCCCGTGCGACATGTGAGCTGACGGATGCCAGGCCTTCTCAAGCATGCTAAATCGGATTCATCTGCGGATTCCTTCATGCCTCTCCTCATATATGTCACCCTCCAAGCAAACCCCGACCATATAGTTTCCAATGTCCAGTACATACTCAGATTCCGGAACCAAGAGAAACTAGGAGGAGAAGCTGGTTACTACCTTTCCTCTTTAGTGAGTGATGATTAATTCCAATGATGTGGAAGCAGCCACTGACCATAGCCTTCAGATGGGAGCCATACAGTTCATTGAGAACATGGATCGCACAACACTAACAATTTCAGACGAGGAATTCGAGAAGAATGTTGAAGCTGCTGTATCGGCCATCGCCGAGAAGCACCGTTTGGAGTCACCACCCACCTCGGCGACCGCAGAGAGACCACCACAATCCTTCGGCAGTCTAGGAGAGTCGTCGTCGACCAGGCCATCCATGGACAATGATGCCATATCCCGTTCCGTCTCACAATCCTCGTACACGGAACGCCGCTCAACGTCATCGAACGAAGACGGTGGAGAGTACGATGAAAAGGCAGCCATCACTGGCCTCCTGCGGTCTATACAGAAACCACTTTCAACCATAGGAAGAATCTTCTCCGACATGGATGAGGCTGTTGTCGGGTCTTCTAGTAGTTCCGGCCGCAGCCCGGCACACACTCCGCAGCCAGATGCCGGGACTGCCAGCCAACGCAGTAGGTACACCGCGGAGGAGGCTGCTGCGAGACAGGCCAGTGCAGAGACAGCCGAGGCGCACAGGCTCCATAGAGCTGAACATGCCAACATCGTGGAGACGTTGGCCGGCATGTTCCCTGATCTGGACAGGGATGTCATCAGTGATGTCGTTTATCAGAAGGAGGGGCGGTATGTGACTCCCCATGTTACTCTAGTTCTGCTCATTCGCTAACGATCACCTTGTAGAGTCGGTTTGGCGGTGGATGCATGCCTTGCATTGTCTACATAGGCATATTATCTGGTGGTGGAGGCACAGCTGATGAAACACGGCTCTCTCGGGGGCTGTGTTAGAACATGAGTCTGGGGGTAATCATAGTGCCAAATATAGCATGCTCTATCTCGTGCATTTGGGTCGTATGCTGTCCTCCACAGACATCTTAATATAACTACTCACACGAACCCTGGTTTCGCCTCTTTATGATTTCGCTTCTAGCAATTGGGATAATGTAACTTGTACGACCAAATGAGAGTGAGATGAGCAATGGGCGTGATATTGATGATAATGAGGAATGGTCCACCAAACGTGCAAGATTCCCATATGTACCTACGCCCTTTCCAGCTGTTATACAATCACAAATGAACGGCAGGATTGGGTAATGTTAGAAAGTTGCTCTGCTACAAGACAACCAACCACCTTATCAAGGGATGTATATAATATGCAATATAGTGTGCTAGGATGAAGTCCTGGCTTGCGCATATATGAGATACAGTGATGCCAGTGGGCTCAGGCTACTATTAGACAAACAAGGAAAAAGAATCCGACCCATTTTGAGAGTTAGACTGATAGGGACTCCAGGGGCTCTGTGACAGCCCACGGAGAGTACAGCGGCCAACGCACGGACTACCTGCTTAGTTTAAATACAGCGGCGATCTTCACCGCCTTTGGTTAGGCCACAGAAATCTAGAACCTAACCAACCAACCACTCCATATGCAAAAAGAGAATGTACCTCATGATAATGCCTCCTGACGGAATCGAACCGTCGATCTTCGCATTGCTTGTAGATTCAATTTCAGGAAATCGAAACGTTACGAGTGCGACGCCTTACCGCTTGGCCAAGAAGGCTTGAAGTCGATAAGACTGTGAATACTTAACACGACACTACCATTCACAGCACCATCCGTGGCTGTTCTAAGGCCGATTGAAGGGGGCGGACATAATGACAGAAGATCTAATTACTTGGTTGTAACCTCACAGGTCATTACACCGTTTTCGGTCAATTCCATTTGCATGATGATTACCTATGTTGATAAGATACATCATTATGATTATAATGTATGCCAAGCATCATTACCTCAACTATCCTTGGTATTTGAGTCCTCGATATAGCTATATGAAGCCCTTATTTGATAGCACTGAATATGCCAATCTACATACACCAGGGCACATGTATGTACTACAGTATCGAGGGGGATCCTTGTCACCTCGATCATCTCCATAGGCCGAATCGCAGAGGTACAAAGCAAGTACATCAGGGGATAACAGAGTATTCGGACTATTCGTTCTTTGTTTCTTTATGCTACAGATGGGACACAATCTACTTGTGGCTTGTGGTGTCCGAAAACGGTAGTAAGCTGGATGGGTGGTGGACAACAAAGAGCCACAGTTCCTTCGACATTACAATGACAATTGATCACGAGAAGAATATCATAGGATCTACTGATATCAGTTTCCCTGTCCAGGAAAACAGCTGGTTTTTTTCGACACTATTGGACCTCTACCATTGAGTAACGCTTTGCAGAAAATCTGCCCACCAACACCACAACCGCCATCCCCTTTTTCTTTATTCCATTTTTTGTTCATCTTTTCCCACGATACCATGTCATCAAACGTGGAACAACCGACCGCGGCTCCGGGAGATCTGGAACTTTTGATGATGGTTCGAGGACTCGAAGCTAGAGCACGCACGTTCGCCGCCAACCAGCGGCCGTGTGATTGCGACAATGCTTTAGCTGAGCGTATTATCAACAATGCGGATCTGGCACGAGAAGTTGATATCCTAAAGAACAGGGCCCGTGAATTAATGGCCAGACGCAGGCCATGTGATTGTGGTGTTCGCGGTGGCCACGGGGACCGCGACGCTGGAGTTGGGAACCATCGCCCCGGCCTAGCAAATAATGCGGACGGTCAACCTGGACGGGGACCAGATGGCGCACCCGGACACGGTGCTGACGATGTTGTTCAGGGTGGAACTCTAGACCTCGGCAAGGGTCATCTCGGTGGTGGAGCGAGTGGTACTCCTCGAGATGACACACATAGTGTCCCGGCTGGTGGCTCGGAGAACGACCAACTTGATAAGACCCCAAGTAGTAATTCAGCCTTGAACTTCCCAGGTGGTAGTCCAGCATTTGGATCAGCAGGTCTCCCGATAGATAGCCCAAGCAGTGGTACCATCAGCCTGGGAAGTCGATCAGGGGGTCAGGCTGATGTTCCAAGGTCGGTACCAAATATCGACATAGGCAACGGAAACGAAGACACACAGCAGCCCAAAGGGCCCGGCGGACAGTCAAGTACCGGTAAAAAGGGAGACCAAGCAGAAGAAGACTGTTACATGCTGAGTGAAAGCTCGGATGACGAGGATGGGGATGATGATGGTTCGATCGATCAAATAGGACATTTTGACAACGTTCTGGACCTTGACCTAATCAAACAACAAGTCCATGATGACGCGGAGTCGATCCAACCCCCAGGACCAGACCTCAGGAATCGAGAATACCGCAAATATATCCCAACATGGACAGATCCGCGTGTGAGAGCCGACGGTATACATCTCTATCCGTATCGCCGACCCGCGCTCCTACCAGAGGATAGGGTAGAGGGTCAGGTGTTGCATGATCCCACCACCTATGCGATGTGTGTTTCCCCATTTGCTGTCTTGTGCTTATAGCAGGATTTATATCCCTGAACAATCTCTGTGACTGCTTCTGACTGGACTAGGCGATATGGAAAGGATCCAGCGGCGCCTCAGAATGCACCCGGGCGTTCAATGTTGACTCCAGTAACGAGAGGGTCCATGGCAGCAGCTCAGGGGGATCCTGACCCATACATGCCAGATTGGTTGGAAGATTGGCAGAGCTACGTCTTCAGCGGATACACTGCCGCAGAGGTATTATGGCCAATTACATGAACTCTGCTGCAGTGAACATGCCTATTGACTTGCTTCAAACATAGCTAAAAGAACAAGGAGCGCTTGATCCTGACAGTATGTGTTTTCCCCTGATATATCCGATGTAGGAGTAATGAAGACTGTACTTCAGATTATATCAGCTTGCTACCATTACTTCCTTTTGTAGGCCATCACTGACAATATTTTTTGAAGTGGATTTCCAGCAGCCGGCACTTGATTTAACAGAGGCACAGATCCATCCGTAAGAATCTGATCCGGTGATTCTTCCGGATAAGGTGGACCCCGCTGACTTGAATATAGCATCGTGAGGCGGAACAAGTGGAATCAGCATCCTCTCGAAGGCAGCTCGGAGGCAGATCCTGTTCTTCTGTACAGTTTAGACGGCACAGACAGAAGATGGGATATACAGCAGGTACGTCTCTGGGCAATTTGAAATATACCACGGCCCTTCCTGAGTCACCCCAAAGGGAGACTAACGGTTGTGTTCCTTTTAGCAAGATGACATACTCTGGAATGCTTTACAACCCGCACTCAAACTAGTTTCCCTTATCTTATACTCAGATCCCCCATTCTGGCGTTCTATCCTCGACATCTACAAGCTGGGTCCGGTAGACAGCTCACGGATACCAAGGCAAGCGAAAGAGCGTATGTACATATTTACAACATCGGTCGACCAACCACCTGTCCGTAATTGAGATAACTGACCGTCAGATCATGAACCAGGCAACCTAACAGCATTGCACTTGGAGATGGATAGAAAGATAATGTATCCGGAGGCCAGAGAACTCCTCGATCTGGACTTTCAAGCTGCCGCGATCACGGAGCATATGCTGACCAGATACATCAACCTCTCTTTCGGTGACCTGAAGGATGACCAGACTGGATGTACTGAATTGTCAGAGATCGAAGCCAAAAACCTGTCATTTGGTCAGCCGCGGTACCAGATAGACGTGGGCATCTCGCCTCTTGCTGTCTGGCCTCTGCTTGTCCCGGAATACTCGGAGTCAGAAAAGGCTGTCACTTCGACGGCTATTGCTGCAATAATCCTACATGAACTTGCTGTAGGCCCCTTTCTGAGGCTTTACCCTCGAGTACCTTCTGACCTGATCATAGCATGCTGCCGTATTTGCCACTGAGATATTGATTGCGAAGAAGCGGTGGAGTACCGATCCCGCTCTGCGTCTCTTTCATATCGACCTGAGGCGTATCCCTGAGCAACAAATGGCTTTGTTGACCGCACTAGGACACAGAATATGCGGGACGCGCCGAATACCGTACTATTTGTATGTCACATTCCCCATACCAGCCTAATCAGTCACGGTGGAAGAGACATGTTCAGTCTGTAGGGCTATAGGAACTCTCAAATGGGAGACCAAGATGCAGGGTATAATATGTTCTTGATACAAATATCTGACATTTCACTCAGCTTTGAGAATGAGCTAGAAGCAGAGGAGGGGTATCAATTTGAGAAAGAAGTATGTCACTCAGTCCTCGCTATCTTGGAGGAGAACTAACGCACTTCTGTCCAAGATATGGGGTGATCTAATAGAAATTGAGGGTCGGCCCAACTCAGGCATGACACTGTTCGATGGGTTTCCCGGAGTAGTTGCGATGCTGCAGAACTGGCCTTCTAGGGTATACCCCCGGCCGTACTACTGGAGAGAGGAGGCAACAAAGGCAGAAGAGATGGATGACTGGCCGTTATGGCTCACCGACCCCCCACCAAGCATAGTGCGCCGCAAAACTGCCATTCCCGTCACGATGCTGAGCCGGTATCTGGATCAGAGATTCTGGGCTACAGAGGTCAGAAGGTACGGTCACCAAGCACTTAGGATATCAAGACACCAGTGGCAAGGCAGATCCTTGAGATCCAATGCTTCCCACTTGTTTTTCAGCAGGAGGGATGTGGAGAGGGCCTTTCGCAGTAGGACTGTCTTCATGTGGATGGAACATGCGAAATGGATTCTTCGTAAGGCGCGAGAGTACGCTCTGGCCGATTATATGAGGACCTTGACAGAGGGCCTCGTAGATTCTCATATGAGTATGTATATCGAGAAACAACTGGTTTGATTTCTTGTATATCCCTTAATTCCCGTATATGCTTGGTCAATGAGCAGCAAGAAGATTGCTTCTACCCCTAATTCGTACCTGATCTCTTTGGTTTCACTCAGTCAGGACAATTACTAACTTTTCATCTCCAAGTGCGCCGGCGGCTACACTACGAGAAGAAGACATGGCGGGGAATAGACACAAATCTGAAGCGGCTCCGCGATGCTCTGACACATACCGAGGGCCTTATCACGACGGTACTGGAGGAATACAAGGGAAGGCGGGACTCTTTGCCATTGGGCGCCGCAGAAGTTGAGAGAAGCCTCGAACAATACCTTGCACATATCCAAGACCTATTCACCAGGGCAAGTGAAATCAACCGGCTTCTCGGTGGCGAGGTCTATCATCTACAATTCCTCGTCCTGGGGGTTCTCAGGCAAGAAGACGAAGGCCGGAGAAGACTCCAGCGCTACGTGGACACCATTGCCGCACGTATCCAACAGGTCCTCAGGCCCGCTGCAGACCATATAATCAGGATAGCGACTGATGTTGGCGCGGAATGCACTATCGTCGTCACGGAACATACAGAGTCGTGCACTGCTCGGGAGGTACGCGTGGACCCGGCCGTGACCGCTCGCTGGACAGAAAACATCGTCCCGGCCATGTTCCAGGATGCCAACGCCAACTTCCCGTCAGTCAGGCAACACCTCGACGATCTTACCAACACGATACAGTCGGCTGGGAGGGCTCCCAGGGTTGCCCTCGCAGAATCTCCCCTGTCCCGCGGCTTCAACCTGCTCGTGGAGGAGGCCGGGCTCAGAGAGATACGAACAGAGCGGAGGCGGCTTCGCAATCTCGCCTTAAGAGATATGAGGCGTATCTCGAACAA